CCAAGACCATGGACTTGCTCTAAGACCGCGGTCTTAGAGTGAAGACTATTGTCTTAAGTGCTTAAGCAACTTAGAGTTAAGGGTCAACTTGTCTAAATCAATATAAGAGTATCTAGATCATATAAGGATATGGTCTAGTAATGATCTTATAAACTGCATAATTGTGTATATGTTTAAGATAAGAATGGTCATGAGACCTACTATAGTGTTCAATGCTTAAAGACCATGTTACTTCCATTATAGCACTACAATATTAGAATGACAACCCTACATATGCTATTGCAGGGTACAGTAGTGATCAATAGAAGTCTAGTGGCCCTTAACTTCATAACAGGTAACACTACTAGCCTTGAAACTGCATTGTTGCAGTACTGAGTAGTGACAATTCTTTCCAAGTCCAACCAAATGCACCATATATTTATGGTGCACGTATCTATCTACAAGTCAATATGGTGCAGTGGTCTAAATGGTGGTTGAATGTGGCAGTGCTAGAGGTTGCTGGTTCAATCCTAGCTGGTGTCTTTTTTTTTCCTTCACATATCCGCTAATCATTGTATTGCTGTACATCACCATGCTAGAGACTAACTATGTCTGATATGATCCAACTAAAAACCGAGCTATAGTCTTTTATAGCATGAGCTTCTAGCATGTACTTGGCTCTGGTCTTGATTCTGGTCTTGGAATGGTCTTGGTGGTCTTGGTCAAGACCAATGGTCTTGGCCAAGACCACCCACCCGGCTTGGCCAAGACCAACGGTCTTGACCAAGTCCATTGGTCTTGATGTACTTGGAGTACTTGGTGGTCTTGGAGTACTTGGCCAAGTACCCCAAGACCACATTCAAGACCATGACATTTTGCTGATGAGGTTGCACTGTAGGGATCCGAACGGGAAGCCATGTGATATCGGGCTCACGTGTAGACGATAAAGTACGGGACTTCACCGAGGCTTTCGTAGACCTTCGCCGGTCTTTCACGGAAGCAGGAGTGCTCGAAACTGAGATTCGGGTGGCGAACCTTGCGGATTCCAGTAAGCCCTTGTCGCTCTCTCACTCTCTACCCTCGATCTGATCAACCGCTAAAGGCAAAATCGACAATCTGACCCATGTACGAGGCGCAGGACTGGATTCAGGCAGAGCTTGTCTCGAGGGCACGCGCGTGAAGACGTTGAGCGCGCTGCGAGATTGGATCAACAACCCCAAGCTCGATGCCCCCCGGGTGCTCTTCCTCCTTGGCGGTGCTGGGACCGGCAAATCTTCCATCGCCCATTCCATCGGCGTACACTCGCGGGATCGTCGTCGCCTGGGCTCCTTCTTCTCCTTCAACCGTACGTTCCGAGCGGAGCGTCCGCCGAAATACGTGTTCAGCACGATTGCGCACGATCTGGCGAACTGGAACCCCATCTTCCGTCATGCGCTCGCGGACGTCCTCCATGAACAGGGCGATCTTGTAGGGTCAGTCGACATCGCGAAGCAGTGGGTAGGGCTTGTTATTGAGCCACTCAAGAAGGTTGGATTGGTTGGGCCGGTGGTGGTCGTCATCGACGCGTTCGATGAAAGTAGCTCCGCCGACGCACCTGGGCGCCTTCTGCTGTTGCAGCATCTCACGGAGGGTTCTAAGGAGCTTCCTCCCAACATCCGCATCCTCGTCACGTCCCGATTCGATCCCGACATCAATGCCGCTGTGTACCATGATGATGACGATCATCCGCACATCAGCCACATGGTCCTCGACGACAACAAGGAAGAGGCGAAGCCAGACATCGCGCGCTACCTGCGTCACCAGCTCGCTCCAGGCAGCGCAAAACCCAAGGGAGGACTGGAAGATGTCGACTTTGAGCTGCTGGCTGACAAGGCGGAGGGCCTGTTCCAGTGGGCGGCGACGGCTTGCAGGGCCATACTGGAGAAGCCGAGCGGTCGCACGTTGAAGGAGCGGTTCTATTCTCGTCTGGGTCCGATGTTGCAAGGGGGTCCTTCCTCCCTCGACGACCTCTACCGAGGAATCCTAGAGCGACTTTTCGACTCTAGGGACGAGGCGCTGATAGAGCGATTTCATTCTGTGATGGCCCAAATCCTCTGTGCCTCTTCCCCGCTGTCGGTCGAATCACTGGACGAGATGCGTTGCCTTGCGACTGGTGCGGAAGAGGACGAGGCGAGTCTGATACTGGGAGACATGGGTTCGCTTCTTTCGGGGGTATACGACAAGACAACCCCTATCCGTCCACATCACACATCGTTCCGCGACTTCTTGACCGACAGGGACAGAAGTTTGAAGTGGTTCGTCGACCCAGCTGCAGGACATCCCGTCATGGCGCTCGGATGCTTCCGAGCCATGAACAAGCGACTGTCCTTCAACATCTGCCGCTTGAACGCGTCCTACGTCCTCAACCATGACATTCCTGATCTGGGTGTTGGAGTATGGTCACGCGCTTGCCTTACTGCTTTGGGCACGCTTTGCGAACGCTTGACGGTGGCACCAACGCCACTACGCCTTCTGTCTCGGATCTACATTACGATAGTCTTTATGTAGTACATGTATATATAGACTCCCGCGGCTCCGTTGTAGCATCATCTTCTTTCCCCACGAACTTCTACAGGTTATGAGCCCTGATCTGCTCTAACCGACCGATCTACGCCACCACTGCTGCTATATCTGGAAACTTTCTTGCTTCTCTCGCTTACCTAATCTTGCTCAACCATGTCCACCGAAGCTTTTCTCGCGCGCGTACGGATCGAGCCACTCACCGGTGTTGAGGACTGGCCGTCGTGGAGGGTCCAGATGGAGGACCTCCTATACGAGGCGAAGCTGTGGGACTACGTTGCGGGTGTTAGCAAGAAACCAAAGTCGGCCGCGGAAACCCCGACCGAGGCGGAGAAGAAGGCTATCGACGAATGGGCATCGAAGGACCGAAGCGCCCTATCGGCGATCCGGATGCGCGTCAGCAAGGCTTTGGTAAGCTCGCTCAAGCGCTGCACGACAAGCGCCGACGCGTGGAAACGTCTGGAGAAGAATTTCGAGCCAAAGGGAATCCTACGAGTGGTCCAGTTGCGTCGCAAGTTGCTGCAAGCACGCTACTCGGACTCGGAAGACGTTGAAGAATTTTTGCGAGCCATGGTTGACACGCGTGAGTCGCTCGCTTGCCTCGATCACGACCTATCAGAGGAGGAGTTCTCGATCACACTTCTTACGGCGCTTCCGGAGAGTTGGGACCCGATGGTCTCGGCGATCAACCACGCGACCGATCTGAAGGATTCCGATGAGGTCATTGCCCGGATTAGGCAACACGCAAGTCGCCTCAACGATTCGGAAACTACACTACTGGCAAAGCAGAAGAAGAAGAAGTTGCCTAAGTGTTTCAACTGCGGGAAACCTGGCTACCAGCGGGATTGTCCCAACCACGAGACGAAGAACAAGGAGAAGGATGGCGGACAGGGGCAGGGGCAGGCACAAGGGAAGGGGAAGGGCAAGGGCGCCAAGAACGGGCCCAAGGCTCTGGCAGCCGAGGAGGAGGACAGCGATTCCGAGTATGCCTATGCGTTGCTCGAGGAAATCGAGGATCCGAATCTGGACCCTGAGGTAGCGCTCGCGGCACAGGTCGCCGCTGACGCGTGGGTCTCGGACTCGGCAACTACGGTACACGTGGCCCGATCGCGAGCTGACTTTACGACGTACAAGCCCACCCCAGGCCGCATGCTCAAGGGGGCGGGAACCACGCCTATCCTGGGTGTTGGTAATGTCAGTATCGAATTCCAGCACGAAGGGCGCAAGACTGTGACTATCCTCCGCGACGTCGTCCACGCTCCCGGCATCCCCCATAATCTGATTGCGCTAGGCCGCGTGGAGGCCGGAGGCCATCAGATTCGGATCGGCTCAGGCACAATCGAGTTCCAAAACCCTAAGGGGAGGGTCTACGCGTCCGGGGTACGCGTTGGGAACCTCTACGTCATGAGCGCGATCGCGGTGCCTGGGCGCCCCGCCGAGACCGCGTGTGCGGCCGCCATCGTGCGCCCGAAGCGGCTGCGTACCTACGACGAATGGCACCGCACCCTTGGCCACATCGGGATGAAGGCGGTCATCTCGATGAAGCGCAAGGGGCTGGTGACTGGAATGGAGGTGGACGAGTCGGTCCCGCCCTCCGAGCAATGTGAAGCCTGCGTACGGGCAAAGCAGACTGTAGCCCCGTACCCAAAGAGGTCAGAGACGGAGGTTGAGGCCATCGGAGATCTCACCGTGATGGATCTGTGGGGAAAGGCGCCCACGACCGGCATTCGCGGCGAGAAGTACTTCTCGACCTTCACTGACGCCCACTGCCGCCGGACGATCGTCGAATTCTGCAAAACGAAGACCGGTGAGCTCGAGCACTTCAAGGCGTACCAGGCACAGGTGAAGAACATGCACGGCGTAACCTCAA